CACTGGTGAGCCATGGTGAGCGGGAGAGGTGGGAGTGCGGGATGTGAGGGCCAGGGCACAAAAGCCTCTATTTTGGTGGTGAAGGGTTGAGAAACACTGGTTAGGGTATCCATGCAGTAACTTCCTAGCCTCTGCGTGATCACAGCCAATTAGCTTCACACTCCAACTGCTGTTATTGTTAGAAGTTTTCCCAGCCATTCAGTTGGGATTTGCTTTCCTGTCACATAAATCCATTATTCCATGGCTGAGCATGACTGAATGTTGTCCTAAAAGATGATTAGACCAGGAGCAGCATCTTTTCCTGCACCCAGGAACTTCAGCCTGGAAAATAAATAGTCAGCCCAGTTCTTCTTGGCCAGGTGATCTGTGGAGTCCCCATTCTCAACTGTATTTGGGTTGTATTTCTCCTCTTGAGTAGGATGTTGGTGTGCAATGTTGTGCTATCAAGCAAGGGGTGTCCCACCAGGACTGGCTTCAGTTTCCCCAACCCTGAAGCTTTGATGGTTCATCTGGGATGGAGAAGCAAGAAGAAACGTTTGCATCAAGTTGGGGTGCTGTTGAACCCCAACTCTACAGTTCCTTAGATGAGCCATCAGCCTCCATACTTCATCCACTGGTGCTGGAGAAGCTCAGGAACTTTATCCTGAGCTAGTCTTCTGTTTTTTGCCCTGAGGGTTGACAAGTCTTAGTAATCAAGATGATGAACAGGCTGAACGTGAGATGGTCTGAGCTTAGTGGGACTCCATGGTAGATGGTTCATCTACCACGTACCACTAAGCTTAGCAGTCTGAACTTAGTGGTACTTGATAGATGGTTCAACTTGCTGGTGGGACAATGTGAGGACAATTGTAGAAGAGGACAATCATTCCCTCCATCTTGTGTATTTTTGACTTGGAGAAAAGGTTCTCTTAACACAAAATATGTTTTTCCTGCTCCCTCTGCTTTGAAACTTAGACTAACTGTGGTGGAAGGGTAAGTACCCCAAATGCCTTGTTGCCACATTGTCATTTGCTCGGCTCTTTATCTGATGCTACGTTTTGCAGATATCTCCATTTGCTTGCTTTGCTTGTGGGCACATTTATTTAACCCCCAAATCTGGTCATCGCTGCATGGCTTTGCAGCTTGGCAAAAAAACCAAGGACCTAAGGAGAATGCTAAGCTAGTTTGGGAAGGGTCCATCACTTGGGACTGGCTTGTTTTGTGTTAACACTTTTATTTGGATGAAATCAGCATCATCTCTGCTACTGAAATGGCTTTGGGCTGAAGCAGCTATGCACAATTCAGTTCTGGTGTCCGTGGAAGTGACGGCGTTGAATGACGATGTTTTGTAACCTTCCTTTTCCATATGTCATTAGGAAAGATGGGAGCTCAACTTTTGCAGGACCAACAGTGAAGTAGTCTTTTCTGCTTACGAATATAGAGCAAAGTTTCCGAAACTTGTCAACTTTAAGATGGGTGGATTTCAATTCCCAGAATTCCCCAGCCAGTTGAAGTCCACCCATGCTGGCTGGAGAATTCTGGGAGTTGAAGTCCACCAGACATCCAATGTTAGGAACGTGTAGAACATCGTGGTCCATTCTGAAATATTTTGGTGCTCCTTGGAACATTCCATTTTTCTCCACCCTTTGCTTCCCATTCCCATTGATTCACTTCTGGAAATGAACCATGCCTGAAATGATCAGATTGGTGCATTCCAGGAAAAAAATGGGACATTCTCAAGGATGCCCAAACATTCTTGGAGTGCACTGTATCATTTTGGGGCCAACTGTTTGCCCAAATTTTGGACCTTGGCCTCACCTGGAGACTGTTGATGGGGGATGTTGCGTATTAGGTAAACTTATTAGACCTAAATTACATTCAGATTTTGAGGCTGGTTCATGTCTATAAGAGAATATGGTTTGTAGGATCCCAAGGTGGTATAGACCAGGGTTCATCAACCTCAGCAACTTTAAGATGGGTGGACTTCAACTCCCAGAATTCCCCAGCCCGCTGGGGAAGTCCACCCCAGAAGTCCACCCATCTTAAAGTTGCTGAGGTTGACGAACCCTAGTATAGACAAATAAATGCAGCAAAGAGCTTTGAAAATTTCGGCAGTGAAAGCCAAATTCAGTCAAATTTGGTCATTGCTTATTAGTTCTATCAATGGTCTATTTGTTCTATTAAACAACGACAAGAAAAAACCCTGAAATAAGTTGTAGTAACAATAAAGAATTAAAAAGAAAGGAACCAACTAAATGAACAGCATGTCTGAGAAAGGAAAAAAAAAAATGAAGAAAAACAAGTAATTGGAAATATATCTGAATATGAAGACATATGTAATTCCTTGAGGAGGTAAATATCCATATTCAATATTTCTCTCCAAAACACCATTTGCACAAAATTAATGTCTTAGGGAAAATGTTAATTGATTTCTTTAATGTCATTAATTAATTAATCATTTCATTTATAAAACTAAATAAGTTTTAGAAATAAGAACTCTATTAACGTTTTCAGAAGTTAAAAATGTATGTTTGAAATGTTTAAGTTAATGTTTAGAGGTTAGGACCCTGTTTTGCTGTGACCCCAGGTTAAAGTATTTATTGTTAAACTGTCAGCATAATAATGAAAGCCACGACAATTAATTGTTTAATTTATAAAACTAAATAAATGAGTTGTAAATGCTTTTTTTTTGCTATGTCAGGTGTTGCTGACCCCTTATTAAAGTATTTATTATTAAGCTGTCAGCATAATAATAAAAACATCAATAATAATAGAATCTAATAATCAAAAGTAACAAATCCAGTAGACCTTGTGTAAATACTACTACTGCTACTACTACTACTACTACTACTACTACTACTACTAATAATAATAATAATAATAATAATAATAATAATAATAATAATAATACATTGGAAGGATTAACTAGTCAAAAATTCCAAATGCAGTCAGGACTATCTGGTATAAACAGCGATTTGAGCCTTATCATTAAGCAGCCAATCTTGAAGCAGATCCACAGTCTGACCTTGCACAACCATTCTCACCATCTGTCCTTGCGTGTGTGCATGTGTGCGTGTGTGTGTGTGTGTCTTTTCATTCTCCAGACCTACACGGGCTCGATATTGGTGGCCGTAAATCCCTACCAGCTGCTTCCCATTTACTCCCCGGAGCAGATCCGCCTCTACACCAACAAAAAGATTGGGGAGATGCCTCCGCATATTTTTGCCATCGCAGACAATTGCTACTTCAACATGCAAAGGAACAACAAGGATCAGTGCTGTATTATAAGGCAAGTGGGGGAATGCCAGGACTCATCAAGGTGTCCACCTCTTGGCGTTGAGGAGGGGTTGGCTCCCTGGGCAGTTGTACTGAAACACAACAGCTAGCACACTGCATGGCCTCCTGTCAGGTTTTGGGGGTGGGGGGTGCTCTTTTGAGATGGGGTGCTCATCCCAGCCCTTCTCAGAGGAATCCTGACTGGGGGGATCTAAGCTATGAGAAGATGGAGCAGAAATGCTGGTGCACAGGCCACAAGTTCTCCTGGTGCCCGATTTGTTATCTCCAAGGTGAGCAGGGGCCAAAGGTTGCTCACGTATGGCTCAAAGGGGCCAATGGAAGCTTCCTGGATGACCTTTGGCCGGTTGTTCTCCCTTAGGGTAGCTTACCTCATAAGGTTGTTGTAGGAAAAAGGAGGTGGAGAGAATGTTCTGTATGTCCCTTGGAGGTCCCAGATGAAAGGATGAATATGTTGGTGCTGTTGGTGGAGAAGAAGGAGAAGGAGACATTTGATTGGTGTTTGCTTTCATTTCAAGGGCTTGGAGGGATGTCAGGTGGGTCTTAAGCCTTGCAGAGATGGCATTGTCTAAGTAGGCTCTGAAGGGCTTCTAATTTTTTCCTGTATTTGGTGGGTTTTAAGGGGCAAAACTGATGCCGTAGGCCTCTGCAAGGTTTAAGGCATCCATTTCACCAGTTAAGCACCTAAATCATCACACACACACACACACACACACACACACACACAGACACCATTCTGGTTAGAAGTTGACCACATTGGCTGGGCCCCTTTGGCTTCCAGGCCTAGAAAGGCACATTCCCACCCCACAGGTCCTGAGCAGTTGTTCTGCCTACTGATCATACTCCAAAGGTGGGTGGCCTGCAGGTAGATTTCATGTTGCTCATAGAATTATTTCAACCCCTTACTCATGTAGAGTTCACTCACCTCCTAAGATCTCCGAGCCCTTTTCCTACAGATTGTTAATTAGCTGGGTTCATGCAACATGCTAAAATGTAAACCCAGGTTGATAGGACAAATTTGTAGAATGTGCTGTGCCCCCCAAATAAGCAACTTGCAAGATTGATGTCAGTCCCATGAGGGGGACCAGACCAAGAAATCAACTCCCCAGGAAGACCAAAACTATTGAGTTGAGATTGGCCATAATAGCAAAATTGTGCAAGTCTGATTGTGCTGGACTTCTGCCTCCTCCTCATACTCCTGTGAATCAAGGCGGCATCTGCCTGAGACACTTCCAAATATTATTTGTCTGTTGTGGACTTAGAATCTGTATCACCCCTTGATGCCATGACTATGGATCTTGCGTACCTCCATCAAGATCATCTTCCTTACTCTCAACACTGGCTGATCACTCTGTTCCTAGTCTTGTGTCGCATATGACAGCAACCAGGATGTTCAAGGGGAAAAAAATGGGGTTCAGGAACGAAGCAAAACACCTGTTCAACCCACAGCTTGCTCCAACTCCTTCAACCCATGAATGGCTTTGACCAGATGGTCACCCTTCCCTGCTATTTCCTGTTGTCTGATAGGGAAAGCAACCTAGCAGTATGATAGTGACCAAGGATGGCCTAATTCAGATCTCTATCCATCTGTGGAGCTCACTGGAGCTCTCTTTGCTCTCCTAGGATTGTTCTAATGGGAGATAAAATTGAAGAAAGGAGGGCACTGTGTGCCTTGAGCTCCTAAAAGAAAGACGGAATATAAGTCAAGTGAATGGAAGAGTGGTTTATTTTTTCAGCCTTTTTGTCCAGATTGAGGGGGTTAGAGTGGTCAGAAGAGTGGAAACGAATGTACTCTGCCATGTAGAGATGCAACACACCCATTTCCATTCATATTTTTGCTTTAAAAATATTTTTAAATGAATAGGAGAAAACCAACCACTTTGCCATCAAATTTTGGTAGCATCATCTGGAGATCCTCTGAGGGTCAGAAAACAGGGTTGGGGGCTGCAAGCAGCCCATCAACTCCTGGATTATCCATGAGAAACTCAGTGGGTGACTTTAGGTCAGACAGTATTTCTTCACCCAACCTACCTCACAAGGTGGTTGTAGAATACAATTGGAGGAGGAAGTGGTCTGTACATTACATTGGAAGAAGGCAGGATATCAACTGAATGCATGGATTGATGAACGGCTGCCAAGCGGGGGCGGGGGGGGGGAGGGAGGGATGCTGAAGTGTTGCTAACTTTAGAGATCCAACAGTTAACACTCCTTTTTTTATTCGGTTGTTGCAGTGGCGAGTCGGGCGCGGGGAAAACAGAAAGCACCAAACTCATCCTGCAGTTCCTAGCGGCCATCAGTGGCCAACACTCCTGGATTGAACAGCAAGTGCTGGAAGCCAACCCCATATTGGAAGGTGGGCCTTTGGACCTGGCATGGGAAAAATAGATTTGGGGAGAAAAAGTTGAGCTCAGGCAATATTGCTTATTAACTTACAAGTCAGTAGGCAATACCCCTGATCTGACACTGGGCCTTCCAAGAAACCAGTGACTGTCTCCGTTATTATGGGAGTGCCTGTTTTTTCTACCACGTCCTCCTGGCATTCATCTTCTCCTGTTCTTAGCTGTCAGACCTGTTAGGCTTTGCTTATTTTTGGTTTTCTGGATGCCCATTATCCCAAGAAATCTGAAAAATCCTGTTAGGCTTTGTTGACCAATCTTGGGGAGAAATCAGTGGAATGGTAATCATTGGGAACAGAGGCCACTGAAGCAGGAGAGGGGTCAGCACACACCTTTTTAGTTTCCTGCAAGCAAAGAGCTGAGTGCTGAGCCCCAGGCAGCTGGGCAAGGTCAAAGAAGCAAGAATTACACAGATTTTAGGAAGGTAATTTTGGTGCTAGTCCTGGGATAAATGGAGAAATGGAAATTTCCCAGCTTTGTTTATTCATGACATTATTAAAGTGAAGCCTTTTTGAGGGACTTGAAAAACTTCTTCCCATCTGGGGTGGGTTGCCATTTATGAGATCAGCTGCCGATGATCTCACCTTCTATCTCTTGATGGCTTATGTCTATTCCTTCTTCCATTCCTTTCCCAGCCTCCCCACAATCTCTCACCAGAAAAGAGCATTTCATCTCACCAGCAGGAAAAGGCCCTGGGGATTACGTTAGGGCTACATGAAATCTAGAGTATTCTTTGAAATAATCCTGAAGCAAAAGGCTGATGCTTCATTTGCAGCACGTCAACTCCCTCCACCCCACCTATTTTTTTTTTAATTAAAACCATCATTAAATTAAGTCCAGTGAATGCCAAGGGCAGTGTTTTCAGACTGGAGTGTTTTTAGACTTTGGGGCTTCTCACATTGGCATTTAATTGGCACAAATACACCCTGGCAACTTTTTCTTGCCTTCCTCCAAAGAGTAAGATAGGTGTAAGCTGTCCTTAGCAGTACCCATGTTAAATTAGCCTTGATCCCTGTTTTCCCACACCATCAGGGATAACATCTCTTAGGCTTGACACCCTTCGCCTTGGAGAGAGTCAGGGGAATGGAAATGGGTGGGGAATGAGTCCAGAGGGTCAAGATGTGAGCTGGCAACGGGAGAGCAAACTGCATGCTTTTTCTGCTGATTCACTATGATTTTGGTCACTGGACAGTGCCAGAGAACATGAGATGATGAAATGGTTGGGGAATGCTTTGACTCAGCAGGGAAAAATGTCCGGTAGAAAACAGCCCAGCCCCCTTTGCAGTGGCTGGAAGGGAAAAATATAATTAAAAAAAAAATCTTCCATAATGTGGTTGGGGTTGGAGGCACTGCAGATGGCGGGTGGGAAGTTTATTCACTTTACTTCCTTTCTGGACCAATTCTATATGCACCCTTTAAAAAAAAAACCCACAGAGATGGACTGCCTAGAGTAACTCCATTATATGGGGCTGCTCTAGGCTCCTGTCTCAACATCCCAAAGCCAGAACAGGACCTCATCTCCTACTCAGGACACTTTAAAACAGTGTTTGTCAACCTTGGCAACTTT